AAATCATTAATAAAAGCAAAACCATAAACCTAAATGATGGAATGGAGGTTAACAACGTGTGGGGGGGGAATGAGAGGAGCTAATGGGAAAGAAAATAAAAAGAGGGGGAAACGGTCTAAAAATGACTTAGGGGACATAACATCAACACTGGGCAGATGTCGATCTAAAACTAAAAACAGGTTAGTTAACTATTGAATAAATATATCCAAATAACTATTGTAGTAATTTACCGTTGTAATAATTGAATTTACCAAATTATAGAAATGTAAAAACACCTGAAGAGGGGTGCAAATTACACGAAAATATTGCACCCGAAATGTATAGTAAATAAATAAATAAAGAATACGAATAAAAGATTTTGTCTCTGATTAAATGCGGTCCAGGCAAAAAAACGGTGGTTATTTCTGTACAATTAACCCATGAAGTTTCATCAATTTTGAGGAAATATTTTTGAAAAATTGATTTTTTAAAAGGAATATAAAGAAAACCGCACCATGGATATATACATATCTATTACTTATAGCAGATTATTTTTTTATTTTGCACAAACAAAATAAATATATTAATAAATGTAAAAACAAGAAGAATTATATTTCAGAAATGAGTTTTAATGTAAAATTATAACAACTAGCTCTGGTCCAATATACCTCTGGTCAGCACATCGCGACCAGAGGTATGTCAGAAATAACACAGGACAGGTAAATGGGTTTTTTCAAAGATTCATTTGTCAAAATTTGATTTCTCAATGTTCACATTTCCAACTTCTTAGCAAGCTACCCATGTGCTAATCTTGCACTAGCACCTGCTTGTAGAAAGAGTGTTGCCATTTTGTATTTTATTTTCACTCAGTTCTCAGTCTCCTGAGTACCTACAAGTCTGATTTTTTTTTTTTTGTTTGATGCGTGTGATTTGGGCATCAAGTACTCTGTGCCAAATTGCAATTCCTGACATATAAACTTCTTCATATCTCTAAGATGTCCAGCCATTACAGCACTGTGATTTTATAAATGAGATAATCTCGTCAAAGACAACTACATTTTATAATTCACATTTTGTACAAAATTACATTACATAAAAGAAGGACAAATAAATAGCAACAATATAAATATAAAATTGTAAAATCAATAATATAAAAGTTTATTGTATTTATATGAAAATATAATAAAAATAATGTAAAAGTAAAATATAATATGTAAAAAAATTCATAAATTTAAAAAATAAAAAAATTAAAAAGCATACTATATTACTGAATTATATAAAGTACATTTACAAATTCTTTTGTATTGTGAAAAAATATAATTTAAGATATGGTTCACTGAACTAAAATTAAATGCATTATGATATAAATATGATCTGTGGGATATGGAAATCAGTAAAAAGGAGTGTAAGCATGTTGTATTATGCATTCTCCTATCGGGTATTCACAGATTGAACCATTTATTGTTTATTATTTCATTAAAATATTTAAAACATAATATACGGTCAAAATATTTTATTCTTTCCATTAATTCAGATAATCAGAGTCTAACATGAGCTATATCTGGATTAGAAGTGTATGGCAAGTTACTGAATTTATTTAACAGTAAATATACTTTATGAATTTCCTTGACAAGGAGTTAGGGAGCAGCCATTGATCATATTGGAAGGCAATAGTCTATACTAGACTGAAAATTTGTCTTCCTAGTATTCCCAGTAAAAATATGTATTCCCAGATTGCCATATGTATCAACATATCTTAATGTATCTGTTTTTATATTAAATGGGGAAAGATAAGGATTATGTTTAAGTGACTAGCACAATACTATTGTTTTTTGAATGTTAATATTTAAATTAACTTTGGAAAATACTGATGATAATATGTTAAGATTGGATTGTAAAACTGAAGGATTTTGATATAATAATTTGATATCATCAATAGGCCAGGGGTGGCAAAATTTGAGCCCACATGCCATATAGTAAGCATACTTAGCTTTAAAGATGTTTATTCTATGTTTCCAAAGTTTTAGACTTTGAATAGCAATATTTAAATAAATTAAACAAATATGTTTTAATTAGAATAAATGTAAAAAAGCTGACTGAAAAAAGAATGATTAAAACAGTTTTATACTTGGAAAGTTTTGAATATGATAGTAAAAATATTTTCAAGGATTTTTAAATTATTATATTTACTAAATAATTAAACAATGTTAAAACATTATACTATATATGCATATACAAAATGTATGTAATTTGCTTATCAACCCTGTTTTGAACTTTGACACCTAGGAGGTTGATACCAACACCATTGGAAAACACTACTATAAGTGAATAAATAATTGATTTAAATGCTTCCATTTCAAAGTGCATAGTGAGATAAAGGTGCTTTGGGGAACCAAAAGATATAACATAAGTGCAAAGCTAAAGTGTTTTGTAATTGAGAAAGGGAGAAAGTACCATGCAGAAAATATCTAATGTATAATTGCAAAAAATACACAAGTGAGAAATACATAAATAGAATTCAGCTGTGTATGTATGTATTGTACTATACATATATACATATATTAATAATGTATTTTCTTTACAGAATTCTTTCATTAGCATTATGTTAATAAACTTAAAATGTTTTTGATATTTTCATTTCATAAATTCCAAGTTTTTACATTATGATTACTTATATTCTGATTATCTACATTATATTTACATAATAAAATGTAAAACAAAATTGGAACAATAACACTTTGTCAGGAAAAGGTTATGTCTTTTGTTATTTACACTATATTTAGTTAATATAATTAAATTACAAATTTAAAAGTTATGTTTATTTATAAAAAAAATAATAATAATTCTAAATTTTAGATGCTAGCATGGATTATCTATATAATAAAGGCCAAGGCAGCATTTATAAAGAAAGTTTAATGTGGTTAATGTCTACTGATGACAATTTACAAATAGCAGGCTCTTTGGCTGCTGGTAATTTTGCTAGAAAAGGTTAGATAATGCTTTTATTTTTTAAATAATTGTACTTATATTACAGTATACAGTAATTCCTTTCAATAAACACTTTTTTTTTTTTAAATCAGGTATAGTTGTATTAATATTAAATAATAATTGAAACTTCTTTCAAAATGCATATATATTTATTAAAGTCAAATTATTATATATGAATAATAATCATTTTTCATGTGTCTACCAATGAAAATATGCTAAATATTTTAGTATCTAGTTATCTAAGAGTTGTAATTTAACTCTTTTAGTTATTAAAATTGTGTATTATATTTGTATAATACAAAAATTGTTTATTATTTTTAATTAAATTATATTACTATCATTTTAGATGAACATTGTATTCAAATGGTAAAAGATGGTGTTCCAAAGCATTTATTATTACTTTTACAAAATCATTCCGGAAAGGATGGCGATATTAGACTTCAGCATGCCATACTATCTGCACTTAGAAATTTATCAATTCCATGTAAGGTTTTTACTATTTTTTTGAAAATTAAAGTAAAATAAGTCCATTTGTGTTTGCTGGTTTTCTATTTTTTTAATTAATATAGATAGGCTTTTGAAAAGTTATCTGCATAATTCACAGATAATATTATAAAATGCCAGTTGGGAATTTAAATTTAGATTCAAGTATGATATCCATTGTGCTTGAGGTTTTATCAGATATATCAAAGAGATATTAAGAAGAATGTCTTCAGATGAAAAAATTAAGGTGACAATGAACATCATGGTCAAATTTTTCAGATTATTATTTTTTCAACTAATGCATAGACCTACCAATTGCATTCTAGCTGTCAAAGGTGTAACTATAATATACTTCAATGGGAATGGAATATACTGATAGCTAATTGGATGATGAAAATGTGCCTCACTTTCTTTTTCCATCTATTAACTCACTCATTAAAAATAAATATAATGATTATTAGAGTATGATATTCTCTTTTCAGCAAATTATTTGAAAAAGGACCTGACAAGGAAGATTTTTAATTTTTGTGTAATTTTTTTGTGATATTTTTTTGTGATAATCTTTTCTTGTCAGCTCATTTTCAAACAGTTTCTTCAACATGAAAAAACATATTTAATCATATTAAAATATCAGAATATAACCAATGCAAATCCTCAGTCAATCTCCTTATTGTATTAAGGATTAATATACAGCATTTTTCATACAATATTTTATTAATTAAATATATAACATACAAAGCAATGACATAAATGGTATAGTTTACTATGCAACAGTTCAGAAATAAAAATGAATTGTTTTGTACCCAAGTATTGAGATCTAGCATTATTTAACATTTATGTAAACACCCTATCTCTTGCAATATATCATAATTATCTGCATACCTATCCACTCATATCTGCATTACATAATTTAAGGACAACTCCTAAGTCAGTGTTTTTCAACCTTTTTCTAACAATGACATTCAATCTGGTAATTTTTTCTTGTGGCACCCTTGAAGTATTGTTGCAGTACTCTAGTGTGCATCCCAATTGAAAACCACTGTGCTAAGTGATAGGATCTATATAGGATTCAAACCAGATTTACCTATGATGATATATATGATAAAATGATACCATTTCATGTGATCATGTAGCTAATGAAAACTTTATGAACATGGTCATTAATGTTAAAGGAGAATAATTATATCAATGATTTTTTTTAACATACATGAAGTGATTAATTTAAAAAATTTAATTGAACATAACTGAAATTTTGAAACAGTTCTGAAAATTTACTTCTCTTTTAGTTAAAACCTAAAAAGTATCCAAAAATGATTCTTGATTAAGAATCTTAGAAAGTCAGTCATTTGTGATGAGTGCTATTTTGGACTTGCATGATTGGCAAAATATAGATCATGTGCCACATATGAAACTTTGATTCTGATCAGCTATGTTTGATATCTTTTGATGCTTATTCCTTAATATAAATATAGATGTTCATTTTTGGTTTTAGTTAGTAGGCCTATTACAAAATATGAAATAAAAGTAATTAAAATATTATATAATAAATGAACATTATTTTAAAAAATCCTGTAATTTTTTGAGATAAAATTTATTCTGATGAATATCTTTAAATAAAACATTATAAATATCAGTCATTTTATTTCTGTTTTAACATAAAGTTTTCAGTGTTTTGTGCTGTGCAAAGATGGAAAGAAATGATTGTGTATAACATTAAGTCAAATTAAGTAAATTGCAATTATACAATTTTTGAAGTTTACATGTGATTGAATTTTTTATTGATTTTTTAAAATTTGATAAAACATTTTCTTGCTTATTACTGTTTTTAATATTATTATTATTAAATATAATTTATAATTTTAAATCAGATATTTTGTAATTTTACAGTACAAAACAAACCACTTTTGACAGAACTTGGTGTAGTGGAAAAAATTCTTCCAATGGTTGATGTAGAAACATTTCCAGTTGTATTTAAATTACTAGGAACTATTCGAATGTTAGTTGACAAACAAGGTAATGAAGGAATTGTGCTGTGTCATTTAAAAATATATATATATAAGTATGTGTGTGTATGTGTGAAGATGCTTTTAATTTACATAAAAAGCTTAACCAACTAACAGTGATCTTGGAAGTGTAGAAAGCAAATAATCCATTGAAACTTTTGCAAGATAAGTATAGGGAGATATGCACTCACGATACACAAATATAGGGGTAGAACACATGTTGTATTTACAGTTAACATAACCATACTCACAAATTTCTAATACAAACACTAGAAATTTATGATGTCATGTGATTCTGTGTGACAGAAACAGCATAAGACATTGGTATGGTGTGTGTAAAACGAAAATCGAGGTATTGGTGTTTGAACAAACATGCAAGCCAATGAATTCTGAAGCTTACTGTGATGTCACCTGCAGGGTATAAAAGCATCTGTCAAGTGGAATTCAACAAAGCTTGCATTCTTCCATTTTCTCCCTCATCTGTGAACACATACAGGTATTCTGTTGCAGGTATTGGCTTGCCTGCTTCCCATTGTTCAAACACCAATATATCTGTTGTTTTTTGTTTTACATACAGTTCCAATGCCTTATGCAGAATCTCATGATATCATGAATTCCCAGAATTTATATTGGAAACTTTTGAGGTACAATTGTATTAACTGTAATCATGACGTGTTCTGTCCATATTTTGAATCATGAATGCATATCACCCTACTTATCCTGCAAGAGTTTCAATGGCTTCTTTGCTTTCTGCACACCCATGATTGCTGTTAGTTGGTCAAGTTACTTTATGATCACTTTGTATAGCATTTCTTCTAATTTTTATGAATTTTTTGGAATGTCCTCAAAAATATCCCATCAAGTTATAAAGAAACAACAGTGAGTAATGTCTGAGTTTACATCTTTTAAATTTGTGAGGTAAACCAGACAGTAAGATAATAACAATAATGCATTGATGGAGTTTGAATAAGCATGTACCATACTTTCTGGCATATAAGATGACTGGGTGTATAAGATGACCCCCAACTTTTACAGTTAAAATATAGAGTTTGGGATATACTTGCCGTATAAGACCTACCCTTCTTTCACCAAATAAAAATAAAAAAAAAATCAGATTTGATTTCAATATGGTAATTTTAATTCAAATGCTTATAACATTCAGGTACTTAGCAAGTAAACTGTCACTTATAAACATAAGGCTGTTTGTCATCAAACATGTAAACATAAAACAGTGCAAGTGGATTAAACATTTCCAAATTCACTCTAAAGCTGAAAGGAAGGATAAGACAATAAACCCATGGGAGCTTCCGTGCTGTTTGTTTTCTAAGCTGTCAACCAAACTGGAACTGATGATGATAGGAGGAAGATAACGAACAATAGAGAGAGAGCAAGTGCCTTGAAAGTTCCTGGCAAGTTAGCAATGCCCATCATAACTGCAAGCTACGGTATTTTTACAGGTTTTGCTGGCATAACAGTTTCCCTTTAAAAACCTTCAAAATTCTTCTTTTCGTCATTTGATATCATAAGTACATCAATGACATCTTGTGATACATTTGTAAGGCAGTCATCATATAGATAGAATTCTGTATCAGATGGTGTGGTCTCAGATTCGGCTTCTTCTTCATCTTGCCACAAGTAGTCATACTCCATACCATCTAATGAATTTGATATGCCACACTTTTTGAAAGACTTGATTACTGTTTCTGCATCAATATCATTCCAGGCTTTTATGACAAACTGGCACAAAACATCCAACTGTGGAGCACACGTTTCCTCCTTTTGTGAATGACTTTTTGCCGCTAACCAGCCATTCATTCCATTGTTCTCGAATGCGATCTTTAAATGGCTTGTTTAGGCACACATTCAGTGGCTGTACCAACTATGTCAATTCTGCAGGAATAACTACCGCATCTGTGTTTAGTCTTGTAAACCTTTGCTTGGTGCTGGGAGTGAAATGAGCCCTGAACATATCCCACACCAGTCGACTTCGTTTTTGAATAAGTCCACTTGGTTGCCTGCTACATACATTATCAAGCCATATCTTTACCCCTTCTTCATTCAGCCATCCTTTTTCATTCACATTTATAAAACAACCAACAAGGAACTTGAGTTTCGGCATTGTTTTTCGTTTAAAGATAATCATTGGTCTCAGTTTGGTGCCATCAGCTGTGCATCCTAGTACCACTGTAAAACTGGACTTCTGATGTCCTGTTGTTTTCATTTAAATTTGTTTTTTCACCTTTTTGATGGACAATTTTATTTCCAACCATATCAAAATTCATTGGAGTTTTATCCATATTTCTAATACTACTTAATGCATAGTTTAGTGCGCTGTTGTATTATGTATCAATGGTCAACTAATTACTTTGCTATCAAGATCTGCAGGTAATTTTTGGGCAATTTTCGTCTTTTGCCTCAGTATCATATTATGCCTTGCCATGAATCTAGTACACCAAGATACAGTGGCCTTAAATCTGTTGCTTTGATCTGAGTTAGATTTGGCCCACTGAAGTGCAAACGAACGTATTTTATTTCATGTCACTACATAACCATTTTAGTGATGCTCATTCACCATGTCTGCTACATGTTTTTCTAATTCTGGCCAATGTGGAGTGCCTCTTCTTAATGCAAACTTACCCCTTGGCATACTCTTCAATGCTTTTTCATTTGCTTTCCAGTCCCAAACCATCTTTTGTGTTACTCCATATTGTCTTGCAGCAGTGCAGTTATTATGTTCCATGGCAAAGTTTCCAACTTTAAGTTTGAAACTGGCTTCATATTTCTTTCTTCTTGCTGGTGGAGCCATGATGAGGACATTTTTATAATGGTCCGCCCTTGTATCCTATTACTGTATCTCCTTCTCTGCCTCTCAGATCTTGCACATGCATGCCTGCGCTGCTTCACAGCAGTCCTCAAGAGCGAGATCTGAGAGGCAGAGAAAGAGGTATGGTAATAGGATACATATAAGGGCAGGCCAGATGGGTGAAAGATGCATGTTTTTCTGGGCATGGCACCGCTCTATCTCTATCCATACTTCAGACGTCCCAGCCGACTGCAGCACCTGTCCTGTAAGACGAGACCTGACTTTTGAGAATATTTTCCTGGGTTAAAAAGTCGTCTTATATGCCAGAAAATACGGTAGTTTTTTCATACAAAAACTGATTGATAGATTATTGAAACAGTACAAATAAAAATATGCAAATGAAGTTCTTCAATATTAACAGACATTAATAACATGTCTGTTACAATTGCAGAAAGTTGCCTAATCAATTAGAAGCACAGTGAACACATACATATTTTAAAAATTTTGAATAGAACTTAAAATTACTTATATTTTTATTAAGAGAATTATTAATTTCTGATCATTCTTTATTATTATAGCTTTACATGAATAACTCTTTTCCCCTGGGTGGGATATTTTTTTGTTTTGTTGCATTTTGTACATAATCTATTTTTGTATTATGTTGTTATATTTTACTTTCTGTTGAGGTGCACTGATTAAGAATCAAAGATATATATATATAAACTGTAAATTGTATTAATTAACACTAGGTTGGTTTGGTTGATATTTTTTGGTACAAGAGCCATAATACTAAGACATTTATCTTTAAGTTCATTGAACAAAATAAAGAAGCAAATAATATTATTATTTGGAATTATTGGAATATATATTAGATAAAATCCTAAATTTTTAATGTACTCTTTGGGTCTTTCATTGTATTAGTATTGTAGTTTTTGAATCTTGCTGTTAGAGAACTTTTTAGATAATTTGATTATGCACCATATTTACCTGGTCTAGCCTTACATAATTTTCTAAAACTGAAAACTGTTGTGAAAGTCCATACATTTTTATATCATTCTAAAGTTTATTAAGAAAAATTTTAGAAATGTTTTGAGCAACACTGACTTAGTAAACATGGTTTCTATCATTAATATCAATCAGCAACAAGAAAATTATTTGAAAGATGCTATAAAATATTTGTGAGATAATATAATTTGTACAGAAAAGTTCAGGAAATTAATTGTTACATTGTTTTCCATAAATTAAAAATTAAAGTTGATTCTGAAGAAATATCCAAATATTGAAAACAAAAAGATTTTATTGCAGCTGATCTTCATTATCAGTGACAAAATAATGTGGAATAATTTTGGATATAAAATCTGTTTTATATGTATATATAAAAGACTGATTTCAGAATGTGGTTATTTTATATATGATTTGCAATCAGTTTGAATCTAGAACTTACACTGAAATTTATTGATCAGGATATTATCTAATAAATGAACTAAAATGTAAAGTTTGAAGAATCTGAAGATGTTCAAACTCAAGCTAGAATAATCAGATGACTTCATTTAAACTTTTCCACAAACAAAAGTTTTTGAGTGATTTTAACAAAAAATATAAGATATAATGAAGAGCAACCTTATTTATAACCACAAGAAATAATTGGTATCACTGAATAAGCTGTTTGAAAAGCAATAATTAACTGAAAATTAATTGTATTTTAATCTTTCAGTATAAGCACTTTATGTATCTTTTATAATATACAGCAATATTTGCCAATATAGTTTTTATAGTAGGAAATCTCTGATGTCTGTTCTGTCAATCCATCAGTCCAAAAAAAGAAGCATGTCATTTGATGCTTATTTTACATAATTTGCATTCATAAACAATAAAATTATGACATTTTACTAATAAGTTTAGATGTCATTTAAAATGTTTCTAGGAGTAAGCTTCTCTGGAGAATATTAGAGAAATACTTCCATAAATATCATTCAAGTAATATTTTTGGCAATATTTTGTTTTAGTTATGCATTTCTTTAAATAACTATATAGCTATCTTGAAATATGCATGCTCTTTGTGACATTGTTTGTTTTAGAAATCAGATCAGATAAATACAGTGAATACTCAAATTTTGTCTAAAAGATTTCTTAACAGTGAGCATATCAAAAGTTACAATAATGTTACAATGCAAAATCCAAAGATCAAATGAAAATTTAGAATTTCT